TAATTCTGGATATATAGTTTATTAATTCTGGATACATAGTTCACTAATTCTGGATATATAGTTCATTAATTCTGGATATATAGTTCACTAATTCTGAATTTATATAGTTTATTAATTATGAATATATAGTTCATTCATTTTGAATACACAGACGCAGCGAACTACCATAAGCCAAAACAGAATACCAGTAACCGGTGTGGATATATAATTCACTAATTCTGGATGTATAGTTCATTAATTCTGGATATATAGTTCATTAATTCTGCATAGCATAACGCCGATACGACAATCAAAAATAATTTTTTTTTTTAAAGTCGGACATCAAAACGACATCAATTTTGCAATCGTGTACACCATACATGGCGCACACAGTTGCACGGCATAATTTGCCCCCCTAGCAACTTGTCCACGTAACTTACACCATTTGAAACGTTATGGAAAAACTGAATGTACTTTTGAATCTTGTACTTTATTAACATAAGTACAAGCAGAGTTTTAATAATGACCATGTTTGATAAAATAGTTAGTTTATCAGTTAATTTTGACATGTTTGATCACTATTAATTGTTTAATTTGGTTAAATAACTAATATGAGTGTTTGATTAATTAGCTTTTTGTAACAGCTTATTTCACAAAAATGCTAAAATTCAAAAAACTACTCAAATCATATTTTTTATTAGCTTTTTGAGAAAGTCATTTTGCATGTAATCAGCTATTAGCTAACAGCTAATTTACCAAACACTTTTCTACAATCAACTAAGATTATCAATTAGGTAAATCTACTAACCCAATCAGCTAATAACTATTTACCAAACACCCCAAAATGTTTTGAGATGGATTCTTATGTTCTTGTATGCCAAAAAAATTACAATAGTAAATCATTTTTTCCTTAGGGATTGGGTAAAAAAACATTGATTGATTTTGAGGAAAGTAGGAGGAAATAGTGGAACATGAAATTGATTAAACTATGCAGTGGTTCAGTACTCCAATTGGGCCATCGAGTTGGTGGACTGTTGCGAAGAATAATTCAGAGCCTGCACGTGCATCTGCACGGGTTGGTGTCCATTCTGTCGGCATGGCCCTGTCTCCACTCAATGGGCCTCTTTTTGACTCCAATTTTGTTCTCCTTTCACCATAATTTAACCCTTCATTTACAGTACAATAACTTGGTTTTCACCCCAAAAAAAAAAAAAAAAAAAAAAAAAAAAAAAAAAAAACAGTACAATTACTTGGGGTGTGATTGAGTGGAGACTCATCTATTGATTTTATCCTTGATTTTGGTTAATGAAGCAATCTTAAATCTTAAAAAAAAAAAACCTTCATTTATAATAGTCGATGGTTTCTTAGTGCAGTTTATTTCTTTTTGTGTGATTTATGAGTTATTATATATAAGTAGAGTTTATTTTGTACACAAGTTTAAATAGTAGTTGTGGATTTTTCTGGCAGTCAGTTAAGGGTCATACCTGCACAATGATTTTCTAATGCGATTCACAAGCTTTGATAGCAGTTGTGGATTTTTCCAGCAGTCAATTAAGGGTTACGTTATACCTGCAGAGGGATTTTCTAGTGTGATTTTTTTCGTTGATATATGTGTTACTATGCATGAGTTGAGTTTATCTCATGCTCACCTTTGTTTGATAGTGATTGCAGAGTTTTCTGGCTAAAAGTTGAGGTTTTTGCTCAGAACCATTAGATCTAAAGATGATCGGCTATGATTGAAAGAGAGGGTGGAGTTGAAAGGTAGTGATGTTGAGTCTTTCACTAATCAAGGTTCAATTATACTGCAGGTACAAATCATGGCACATGGGAGGGACATGGAGAAAAAAGGTCCAGCAAATAAACATAGATTTCTGACTTTGCAGCTAAAGAAAGAAAAGGTAGCCTAGCTAGGCTCCATTTGCAAGAAAAAGTTAGTTTCTTTCCACTTAATTCCACATCTAGAGAGATAGGGGAAAAAAGGTTATTCCCATGACATTCATGTTGCCCTAAACTGAACATGACCTATCTCTAACATATCTATAAATTAGATTCAGACCCCACTTTCTGATCAATTTCTAAATTAATCTTTCCTTATATGGGTTAGAATTAATAGTTACAAGTTTAACTTCTGGTGACAGGGATTTATTGACATTATTTATTTGAAGGTAAGCTATGATTCGTTTATCTATTTCTTTGTGATCTTTTGACAGCTAAAGTTACAAGGGCGAGGTTTAACCAGTCCACATCCTCAGATAGTAATTACATATTTCTCTCGAGAACAAAACAATTTTTCTATCAACACATTTGTATTAGAATGACGGAGACTTAGCTTACTAGTTCAGTATGCTGAGAATGACTGGGTGGTTCGGGTTTCAGAGCATCCTTTTTGGAGGATCAGTTGGATGGGCCTCAAGTTTGAAGTTTTTGGAATAGTTTAATTTGTAGGGCTCCATCGTTAGGGTTTCCCCCTCTATTTTGTTCAAAAATTAATGATAATAATGGTAACAGTGTGTGCAGTGTTTTAAATAAATATTACTGTGTATAGATCAGATTTAATTAAAAAACTACTCATTTCATAAGCCCAAAGTCCAAGAACAATGGTTTAAAATGACTTTTACTGTTTTTGCATGTTTTTATTTTTATTTTTTAAATTTGGTTTGGGAAAAGGCAAAAGTTTAAGACAATGGTGTCCTGACAGGGGAAGTATTATGGTGGAGCCCTGAAAAATTCGTGGTTAGTGGAACTATGTCCCCATGCATCTGTACCTTTCCTAATACTAATGCCCTCACACATTATATTTCCTTTGGTGACACTGATCCTACAAATATAGGGGTGGTGTGACACAACTAACCAAGAACCTGCAATAATATAAAGGGTGGCTGTGGTGAACCATTTTCTCTGCAGATTATTATTCCATTGTTGTTTGCAGGGTGGGCATGGCTAGTGAGTTCAAGCATTTGGTTCTTGTCAAGTTCAAGGATGGGGTTGTGGTGGAAGACATTCTGAAAGGGATGGAGAAGCTTGTTTCAGAGATGGACATTGTCAAGTCCTTTGTCTGGTAATCTTCATTTCTTCAAGAATAATGTTAGTTTTCAGTGCTGGATCGAGTCCAGTATCCTGTCATTAAAATGTGGTACTGAGTTTCTACTTGCAAGTAGAATGAAATAAAGTTACACCTTCGTTATTAGCTATAACTTTTGGCTAGTGGTAAGCCCTATAAAGTTGTGCTTTCGCTGCTAGATATAGCTTTTGGCTGGTGGTAAGTGCTATAAAGTTGCGTCTTCACTATTAGCTATAGCTTTTGGCGTAGTGATAAGCGCTATAAAGTTGCGTTTTCGCTGCTAGATGCAGCTTTTGGCTAGTGGTAAGTGTTATAAAGTTGCGTCTTCACTATTAGTTATAGCTTTTGACCAGTGGTAAGTGCTATGAAGTTGCATTTTCGCTGCTAGATGCAGCTTTTTGCTAGTGGTAAGTGTTATAAAGTTGCGTCTTCGTTATTAGCTATAGCTTTTGACCAGTGGTAAGTGCTATAAAGTTGCGTTTTTGCTGCAAGATATAGCTTTTGGCTAGTGGTACGTGCTATAAAGTTGTGTCTTCGCTATTAGCTATAGCTTTTGGTGTAATGGTAAAAGCTATAAAGTTGCGCATTCTTTACTAGTTATAACTTTTGATATATTGGTAAGCGCTTGATCTGCTGACAATCGGTTTGCCAGAACTGCAAAAGCTTGAAAATTATTGGTTTTTTTTGCAGGGGGGAAGACAAAGAGAGCCATGAAATGCTTAGGCAAGGCTTCACTCATGCTTTCTTGATGACATTTAATAGCAAAGAAGACCACACTGCCTTTGTTAGCCATCCAAACCACGTCGAGTTTTCGGCTTCTTTCTCGTCTGCAATAGAGAAGGCTGTGCTTCTTGATTTCCCAGCTGTTGCTGTCAAGCCTCCTGCAGCTTAAGCAATATAATCACTGGACGTCGAAGAAGACGATAATGATAATGATGATGATGATATAACATTTATGTTTTATCAGTCTCTCTATGAATGAGTTCTATGAGATGTGTTTCATTATTTCCTTTCCCTTTTTGCATTTTAGAAATTATGGATGGCATGCATGTACTCTATTGTGCTAAGAAGTGTGTGGACATATGTATTTCTTCACTCAAACATCATAAAATATGTCAGTGAATGATTGGATTCATTGATTGATCTGAGGTTGAGATAACAAAGTATGTAATCACCTTAGACTTTTGTTGCCTGTCCTAATCTGGTTTTCCCAATATGGAGATAGCTATCTATGTTGCTTAATCAAACTGGTCTATTCATCTAACTTTGTCTGCCAAATGGGATTTTATAATCCAGTAAAAAGATGAAGAAAAAGTTGAAAAAGATGGGAGATTTTATTTTTTTTTTTGGTTGTAAATAACAAAAATAAATAAATAAATAAATAAAACACAGTAGAGCAGCAGAAAAGAAAAGATGTAAAAAGATTCTCTAATCTTACCTTTCTGTTTTTAAAAAAAAAAAAAAAAAAAAAAAAGTTTTTAACTTTTTCATCCCCATCTCATCAAAATCATCAAGATTCCCCCCAAATGTTCTCCATAGTGAAAAACATCCATTTAAGTGGTTGACCACCTGACCTAAAATCAACACTTCAGCGATAGGGTGAGGGTTCAATTCCCACCAACATCTTAGAATCAGGATTTCCCAGGTTAGAATTTAGACCCTTGGACTCAATAGATTGGAGATTGGGCTTTCCAAGTTAGTAGAAAGCCAGAAATGTAGAGATGAATCCCTTGTGGGCAGAGTTAACGACAAAGACTAATTGAAAGACCGGTGATTTACCTCCTCCAACTACTATTAGGCAACGATTTTGGGGCTTAGAGTTAGGGCTCTCCAGGCTAGAATTTGGATCCTTCGCTCACTAGAATGGAAATTGGGCTCCCCAAGTGAATTCCTTATAGACAGAGTTAACGATAAAGATTAATTAAAAGACTTGTGATTTATCTCCTCCAACGACTATTAAGCAAGGATTATGGGGCTTAAAGATAGAATCAAAATTCATTCAACAAGGAGGAAAATGCAGACTATGAAGAAAGTTCATCATTTTCTCCTGATCTGTCTGTCACTGATAAGCTTTCCATTTTCTGCTACATCCATCTCCCAAGAAGATCCAGTGGTAAGTTACTGTGGAAAAACAAGAATCCAAGCACCCTTTCTTAAGCCTCATCCTCTCAACTCAACACACTCATCTTCCTTGAACAACCTACTCCTCTGCAAATCCAACACTCTTTACATGAGAACAACAATCGGGCTTTTCCAGGTTTCTGCCATTGATTACAAATCCAAGCTCTTAACTCTTCCCCACTCTTCATGCTCCACTTCTTCCCAGTTTCTATCTCCCCACCACTTATCCGCCGGATTCCCTTCACCCCTTGAACCAAACTCCCTGCTTCTCTTCAACTGTTCAAACCAGACAACATCCACTGAATCACCACTGTTACATAGTTGCAGAAACCTTAAACCCTTCAAAGATTCTCATTCAGTGTTCTGCGCAGAGAATCCTTATTCTTCTTCATGCTTGGTGGTTGATGATGTGGGGGAGATGGGGAAGGATTTTCACCCTAAACAACTGGGCTGCACACACTACAGAAGAGTGTACAGAACAAGATTAGCAGAAAATGAGGAAGTTGTTGGGTTAGGAACAAGGATTTCCTTTGATGTTCATGTGCCCAATCCGTGTGATGAGTGCAGGAAGCCTTATGGGAATTGTGGAGTTGGTCTCAAATGCATTTGCCATATAAGTGAATGCAGTAAGTTTTGCTTAATTTCTGGTGTTTTAGATGTGATCTTGAGGTTTTATTGACATGTTTACTCACTAGACTTACCTTCTTATTGGGATTATTTAACCCGACCTCTATATATCACTCGGTCTACTTAAGGCCTCAAACCCCAGCCAAGTTGGTCGAACAAATGGTTTGGTAACAAGTTTTCAAGCTCGACTCCTCGTGGGCCGGGAACTGTCTATTGACATTCTTGGTTTGAGGCAATCAGCTATAGCTAGCTCTTGTACATCCCCTAATTTGCTAAATCCAAATCAAATTTTCTTGCTACCTATTGATTTACTTTAGGATTTCCAGGTCTATACACTAATACTTCTTGTGTTTGTTTTTCTGCAGAGGACAAAGTAATCAATGGAGGTTCAACCCCAACTCCCAGTGGGAGCATCATCATCATCTTCTTCAGTTTGGGTTTGGTTGTTGCATTCATGAATCTTTTCTAGGATTAGAGAATAATTGTTGTATTCACATTGTCATTTTGTGGAAAATTACAATGTTGAGTGGACAAAAGAATGAGAATTTGCATTCAGATATTGACAATGAGAAAACACCAAGCAAGGATATTTTGTGGTCGTTTGTAAAACCATCTTGCATTTTAGGCATTTTTCGTTTGATGTACAAATGTCCGCCCCGTGATTTTAGCTGACAAAGAAGCACATGAAGGTAAACCAACTTAGTTTGCACATAGTTGACTAGTTCAAATAAAAAAGGTCAATAGAACGTTGTTCTCACGAAGAGTCGAATTTAAAACATTGTGATTATCTAGTTAATTGTCGTTCCCAAAAGGTTGAATCCTCAACCCCAATGACCTCTCACACCCGGCCCGACAGAACATCTGGAGGATGTAAATCATGAAAACTCCTCTGAACATAGATGTTAGATCTTTGCTTACTGTGTACAAGGAACCCCCTTGCTTTGGGAGGTTACTCCTACACTGTTGCTAGTGAGACTCAATCCTGAATCATTGCTCCCAAACTTCACCATGTGACCAACTACTCTGCTCATGCGGGCAATCATCTAGTTAGTTGTCTGATTGGCTTGGCTGGATTGTCCTATTTTAGGCTTTTTTTGGTATGATGTGAAGTTGCAGACATTTTAGAATCTGGTTTATTTCCAAAAGCAAATAGCTGAATATACACGACGATAGGGTGATGCAAGACAGGTCATGTTTCACTCCATTGTGAAAACTCATTATTGCCTCATAAAGTCATGTGGAGTATATTTTGCATTTTATGAGATGTGAACCAAAATACATCAAATACTCGAAAGCATATATGTCGAAAATGGAAAGGAGCCAACTTGCGATTGGGTCAATTGAGGAAGCAAGAAAGAAAACTCATGGACCGAACCTATAGCTCTTACAATAGGTTCAGCCTATAAGTGGTCGATCTAGCTATTTAATGATACTAGTAATTCACCCACACGATATACGGGAAAAAATTATGTTATTATAAATCTACAATCTATACAATTTACAATTTTAATAAGAGCCAATAATATTAGGCCCTTAACTGGAAAAAAAAATGTCGGTCCTATTGTTTCTTAAAATGAATGATTTATATTATACTATTATTTCTTAAAATGAATGGTTCATATTATTTTTATTTTAGTATTTTTTATTGATTTTTCTTATTTACCCTCTATTATATTATTTTCTTCCATTAAATAACCTAAATTCCGTTAGCATAAACTTTAGTAACGGAATATTCCGTTAACTATTTATTATTTTAACTTACACATTAATTTCTATAAGAAAAGTCTTAGTTTCGAACCACATCACAATTAGAGTTGGCATAATTGTTAAACATATACTACGAATATGTTAAAATATATTTAAAATATATATTAATTTAACTTACACATTAATTTCTATAAGAAAAGTCTTAGTTTCGAACCACATTCCAATTAGAGTTGTCATAATTGTTAAACATATACTACGAATATGTTAAAATATATTTAAAATATATATAATATAAAATTTAACATAAACTTTGTTCAAATAATTAGTTTGACTAAATACATAACATTCAAAGTTAAGCATCAAAGATTATAAATCAAGAACTTTAAAAATCATTTGATTTTTATGCATTTAAAAAAAAAAAAAAAAACATATTTAGGTTAAGTTTTTTTTTTTTTTTAATTAATCTTCTTTTGATTATTTAGATCGGAAAAAAAAAAACTTAATATTTCAATTATACATTTTGCATTATTGGTATGATTTAGGTCGTTATGGTATTAATATTTTTTGTATGTATTTTTATAATGGTACAATTATTGTACATTACTTTACAAATATTATACTATTATTTTTTTATCGGACAAAATTGTTCTTACATCATTGTCAGGCCTGCGCAACCTAACTACAAAATTGTTGATCATAAATACAATTACACCTGGACTATAAAACGGTAGGATTATTTTCTAACGAATGACAATGCTGACATCTCGCTGGCTCTAATTGAACAAGTTTAGACATAAGAATTTTATCAATGCATGAAAACTTCTAAAGAAGTTTGTAAGTTAATTTTTACTATATTATTATAAGAGTTTTTTCCCAAAATGGTCCCTCGACTATTGCTCATTCTCAATTTTGCATTTCGACTTTTAATTGCACCCAATGTGGTCCTTTGACTTTTAAAAACTCCCCCAAATTGGTCCTCCGTTAGAAATTCCGTCTATTGAGTGTTAAAATAAAGGGCATTTTCGTCAACTTACCTATTATATGCCTAATATACTCTGAAAAATAGTCAAGGGACCATTTTGGGAATAGTCGAGGGATCATTTTGAGAAAAACTCATTTATTTATTTCATTTTTGTTTATTTCCATTTTTTAAGACTATCAAATTAGAGTTTCTATACATTTTTTTTTACAAATATAAATAGTTAAAATCCACAATCAAACCTCAAAATTTTAAACTTTCTATACAAATTTGTTCCTTATGTCTAAACATACAGGGCTTGTTTGGCAATCAGCGGTTAGCGGTTAGCGATAGCGGACTGTATTAGCGGTTAACGAATAGCGCATTGTGTTAGCAGGTTTGACCAGTGGATTGTATCAGCGGCTAGTAAAAAGATGTTTGGTAGAATCAGCGGTTTAGATTAGCGGTTAACATGTAAAATGACCAAAAGGGTATACATATATAATAATAATAATAATAATAATAATAATAATAAAAATAATAATAATAATAATAATAATAATAAAATAATAATAATAATAATAATAATAATAATAATAACAAAAAAAAATGTGGGATTAGATCCCACATCGAAAAGTTAAATAAAAAAAAGGGGCGACAAAGTAATTTTTTTTTAAAAATAATTTTAATAATTGGAGGGCGTTTTTGGGAAGGTAATTACCTTCCCCAAAACGCCAACCCAACACGCTGCTAAATGCAGCGTGTTGGAGTTCAGCTGAATTTTGGCGGATCCGCTATTAACCAAACATGCCCACAAACTTTTCATCTAATCCTATCAAGTTTTACAATAAGTTTTGTAAATTTCAAAAATATAATACTCATATACTTTTTATGTTCACACACACACACACACACACACACACACTAAAACTTCAATAGACAATCAATCACTATGTATCATATTAAATATTATTTTTACCATTGAAAATAACATTACTATTTTTATCAGTTTAGACACCCAAAATGTACTCTTCACTTCTCGGTCACTATGCCTTTTGAAAATAAAATTATTATTTTTACAATCAATCGCTATGATCTGGCACTTCTTCGAACTGAGAAGTACGCGTCACTTCTTGGTCAATGACAAAATCTTAGAAAATATTTTTGGAAAGTTGGCTTAACTTATCCTGTAAGGCCATTAGTTTCATTCCAAAGTTAGTACAAACCATAGCTACCATTTCCAAATGCCTATCTACCCAGAAATACATCATGCTAAAGAGAGTCTAGAACTATGTCTATCAATTTTATGTCTTAAAGGACAAGTAAAATAAACAAAATGCAAAAATAATTAGCACAAAACAAACAATTCTAAACCTAAAGTCTCATCATTTACCAATATTACAAGTTCTTGTCATTTTGAAGTTTGTTTGTATTTTATATATGAATGTTAATAAACTTAAATTTGAAATTTAAACTTGTTTATCAAAGTACGTAAAAAAATAATAATTTTATTTTAACTATAAAAATAATATTTAATGTAATACATAGTGATTGATTATCTTTTGAAGTTTTAATATGATTATATGATTATATATATATATATATATATATATATATATATATATATATATATATATATATGAACATAAAAAGATAAAAATAAAAAGTATATGAGTATTTATGAATGTTACGAAATTTATTGTAAAATTCTATAGGGATAGGGGAAAAATTTGTACGTTTAGACAAAAGGAAAAAAATTGTAGAGAACGTTTAAAATTTTGAAATTTGATTGTGGATTTTAACTATTTATATTTATAAGAAAAAAATGTATAGAAATTCTAATTTGATAGTGTTAAAAAATGGTAATAAATAAATGAGTTTTTCTCAAAATGATCCCTCGACTATTCCCAAAATGGTCCCTCGACTATTTTTCAGAGTATATTAGGCATATAATAGGTGAATGGACGAAAATGCCCTTCATTTTAACACTCAATAGATGGAATTTCTAACGGATGACCAATTTGGGGGAGTTTTTAAAAGTCAAGGGACCACATTGGGTGCAATTAAAAGTCGAAATACAAAATTGAGAATAAGCAATAGTCGAGGGACCATTTTGGGAAAAAACTCTTATTATAACAATATCTATTGTAACTATATATTTTGAATTATTTATTATCATCCTATATTGACAGGAATTATAACAATTGTCATTGACACACTCTCAAAACAATTTGTCTCAACAACAAATATAAATTAAAAAAAAAATCAATGATTGTGTTATTGTTGATGAAAAGTATGTACGCCACTTTATTACTCTTATTAAACTAAATAAAGTAGTAGCTACAACAAAAAATAATACATATGCATTTAATTAATTTAGAATTAGATGTCTATAATGTCTTTATTTAAAAAAAAAAAATTGTTCATTATAAAAAATTTAAAAATAGATATAATTTCATTAGTTATATTATCTTTATTTTCTACAATTCAAAGATTCATTACCTTCAAATTTATTAATTTATTATATTCACTGCATTGTTCATTGTCTTCTTTTTACATTATCTTGTAATTAAATATCAAAGTTATAATACAAAATACATTATATATATTTATTTACCAAAGTATTTTATACAAATATAATAAATATTAATATTTTGTTCAATACTTTCACATGATAACCTATGACACACATCTCACAATGCATGAAACATGTAGGGGAAAACTACCACTACCAAATATCGATTAGAAAATTCAATAAATATTATCTTGCATTTATATATTTTGAATTACCGATTTAAATAAACAAATTCAATATTTATTTACATATGCATGAACATCTCCGATATAATATTGCATTGATATACTTTGAAATACTTATTTAAAAATAATCATTGGGCATTATCACATTCGCGCAAAGCGCGTAAAAAAAACTAGTATAAATAAAAAATAAAAATATAAAAATATTTTAAATTATTTAAT